ACGTTTTACACAACTTGCCGGCATTCATCACCAAATTGTATTAAATTCCGACTTGACTTCACCTGCCTGAGTGGATATGACGGCGCTGGCAGCTCGCACGGCTAATGCAATAGCGAGAAATAAGAAAGACAGCTGGCTTTGTAATTTAACTAATGGTTCACATGAGAAAGTATAATGCCGCTCTTTATGCTTCATCTTCACAGTAAATGGACATTAGGTAGAGTTAGCTGCTGCTCAGAACATGTGCTTAAGTTATATTTACTAATTCTCTGTGAGCAACGATACAATCAGAGGGGTCTTGGACATACAGTACATTGTCTTTCCATACGTGTGATTGGCCGGGAGTCACTCACAGTGGCAGGGTAATAAAAGTTACAAATGAGAGCAGCCTATTAGAGACATTGACGTGCGTAGGCTCGCTGGCTAATTAATTGATCCTGAAACTTCATCTATTCTGCAGCCAGTGAGAAACCTTAATTAATCAGCCTCTATAGCCCTGTCTTTTCTCTCTCCTCTCCGCCCTCTCCTCCCTCTGTCCTAATGTGTTTCAAACTTTGAGGTGAGTGCCCTGGGCCCCTTGGGCAAGGCATGAGAGCAGCTCTGGAGTGTATCTGCATGTAGGAGAGGTGCACTCTGATGTGCTCTCTGAAGGGAGGGGCCTGATGGGGCTGGAGTGGTCCCCCTTTACCCTCCATCTTTCCTGGCAAAGGAAAGGCTGATTTATTTGGGCTTCCCAGTCATCTGTCAGAAGCAGCAGCACTGGCTGCATTAACCCCAGAGACAACCCCAGCAACCGGGGCCCCTAAGTGCTTCCAAGTGGCCCTCACTCTCCCGACAGTGAGAAACACCCTCTGCCCAGGCACAATCGATGTTGTAAATTATCCATCTAACTCCACAAAGTCGATAGCCTGCAAGATGATGTTTGGTCAGACACACATTTTGTACAGCTTTTGCTTTAATAAAAACTAAAAATCTGTGGTTTTTGAACAAACAAAATTGTAAGAACATTGCGGCAAATAAACTGTCTACAACTTATTTCAATGTCTAAAACAAAATCTGTTTTGTGATACTGAAACTTGCCTTCTGTTTGTTTGTTTATCTTTCTATAACAAGACTTCTAGGAGCAGACCTTGTTATGCGAAATCAAGCAGTCTTCAGCACATCTTGTGTGCTACATTTTCACACATCTGTATTCACAGCTTAACAGAATCGAAAGTTGCATCGACAGCAGGTGGAGAACGAACCACAAACTAGTGCAAATTATCGTTCCTTAAAAGACAAAACAACATTAATATTGCTCCCACTAGCACTTACAATACAAAGATGTATCAAGCTTTATCAATACAACCTGACATTGATTGACCTGTACATTTCACCACTGACATTCTCTAAAACCTTACCACTTTCACTACAGACCCGTGAGGCTTGTAGAGGTGATAAACCTGGGTGTTCCTAAAGAGATTTCACTTGACTTTAAATGCTTGGCTTTTTTCATTAAGTTGACCTATAGTTTGTGAGGGAAAAACAAACAGCCAGTGGTAATGGCTTGTGCATGACACGCCGAGACCTTCACACACGTTCCTTCTCTCTTTCCCTCTGTCTTTCATTTTACAAGATATATCTTTTTTTCTTCCTGCACTCACTTTCTCGCTCCATTCCCCTTCTCCCCCCAACTCCCCTTTTTCACATCAAACACTAATGTTTCCTTCAAATTCCTTTTCCTCTCTGTCTGCCAACTTTGACATCACAGGAAATTACGCTCAGAATTGGCAGCCCTGTTTCCCCCTGCTTCAAGTCCATTCATTTTCACATGAGATGTCTCTGTAATGCGTGGTCCCTCTTCCCCGGTCACCCGCATGTCTCTCTGTCCTCCCCAAAGGCTGATTTCTTTGCACATACAGGATAGGTGCCCAGCAGCTTTGAACGACAAGAAACATTGAATCTAAAAACGGCTAAAGCAATTTAATGCTAGATTTTCATGAAACGGCACCTAGGATGAAAATATGAAAAATATGTGACATCGATGTGATAATAATGACTGCGCTTAAGCATGTGTATGAAATGTTGACAGCAGGGAATTATTTATGACAGATGTAAATTTGCCAGAAAAAAAGTCATAAATATATATGAATTTGAAAATCATATCTAAGCTAGTCAAAATACAAGTGGATTTCTAGATCTCAGGATTAAAGCTGCAGCTCCTATTTTAACAGTAGTAAAATGTTATTCTTTGCTCTCAAATCAGTTGTATCACTAGTTTTCACATGAATGTATTTATAAGATCAGGTCTCACAAAAAGAAGAATGAATGAATAAAACCGGACCACTCTTACTCCGCTCTCAGCCCAAAGGGTCAAATAGTGACTCACAGGGTCCTTTCTTGCAAAAATACTAAAGATACAATGCATTTTTACTAAGATGAAAACAGAACTGTCAATTATGTTTTACTGTACTTGTTGTTTTATTTACAAAACAAAACTTGTGAGGTACTCCAGCTTTAAGAAAAAGTATATATGAGAATAATAGTAATAAATCAAATGTGTTAAAGATGTTAGAAGTCTCTGTGTAACGGTCTGTAATGGTCTGTCAACGTATACACTGCATACAACCTGGCTCTTTCCCTGTAAAGCCAAACACAAACATGCATATCCAGGTTGACGTCACGTTGTCTTGGCAACACACCAGCATGTTGGAGTGTGACAAGCTGAGGCCTCAGCCCTGAAGCCTGATGCATCATGGGGGACGTGTGTGCGGGCTTTACATCACCCCAGATCCCCTTCCTGTCACACTCGGCCCAGATAGCACTGAGCCGCAGCTGAGCAGGACCCTTCTGGCGCACGCGAGGTGAGAGGAGATGGAGTCTTGGCGTCTTCGCTCTATTTGTTGCATCATTCAATATGTAATTAATAGTCATTTTAGCCCTTAAACATACAGGGCATTTTGCAAAGCACATCTGGAACCCTCATTTTTTAGGCTGACTGATCAGGCCCCTGACCGCTTTTCTGTAGGTGAGGCTCATTACGCTCATCTGAGAGCACAGAATTAAACCTCCTCCTCCAAACTCATTACTGTGAGCTAGATTCCACTGGCTGCAGATAGGCAATGCACTGGTGCCACTTTTAAAGCCAAAGCCAGATAATTAGAAACTTTAGATGTGCTGTTCCCATGGCTGTAGCCAGAGTGAACAGCTAATTCTATTTGAACTAATTACGTTTCCTAGCGCTATACTGTGATTGCTACCCGGACACTCGGGCTCCCTCATGTATAGACTGAAAGATTTCATCCTGGTACAAGCCTGCACATGTACGATCTAAAAATCTAAACAGGTCGATGTGTCACATAGCAACAAAAGTAAAATGTATTAGATTCAGACTAGATTTTAAATAAAAATCAATAATGTATTAATGTTGTATTCATAGCCATAATAACCTCTGACGGAGGTTAAACCAATCAAACTGGTATGTCTGTCTGTTTGTTTTAGTTGCTTGGTTATCTAAATAACTCAAAAGGTTATGGGAGGTTTTGTATTGCTCTATGAATGCTCTTCTAAATGATTATGGCATTGAATACGTATATCATCATAACCGGAAAATCCAAACAAAAATATGTACTCAAGACACTATAGACTTCAAACACATAATGTGACTTTACACATAAACAAATCCTTCTGAAATCTTCAAAAGCCTCAATAAAAGAGTGACAACACAAGCTCAGAAAACAGCAAAGACTACTGATATAAATCAATTGTTTCACTACACACATCTTTGCATTCCTGTCTTTCTGCCAGATCCTCCGTCAGTGAGTCTCTCTCCTGTGCGAGCTGTCTCAGTCCACCCGACCCGTCTCCCTAAATATAGCAGGCAGCCACAGCAGGGCACATACTCTCTCCTCTCTGTGTAGCTCCACTTTGCTGTCTCACCAAAGACTCGGAGCTCAAAGAACGCCGCTGTCATTCTCTCACGCACACGCACACACGCACACACACATTCACTCCCAAGCACGAGCCGGTTTTGTTCCATCCACTAATACACCACACACCAGCCTACAAACGCATACAAAGGCCGTGATAACATAGGCATTATTAATTCACCGAAATAACTTCTTGCTATCTCTGCCGCTCTAATCACATGCACCCTTCCAGTCCAAATGGGATTTACTTAAGACTCAATAATACAGACAGAACCGCCATTGTCTTCCACACAGAGCTTATTGTGTAGAATAAGAAAGAGAGTGACGTCGGTCGGTTGTGGCGATGCTGTTTATTAGCACAGAGCGTTCCTTTACATTCCAAATACGACAACACACACATGAACCCAGTTTCAACCAAATAACTCAAAGGGAACGTGTGTGTCCCTATCTTAACTCGTTTAGGCTGTCTTTCCATGTTGCTGCAGTTCTGGTTTATGATTGTCTGTAAAAGATGTACTTTAGGTTGTGGCCCAACCTTTGACTAGTAAAACTGGCAACCCAAATGCGATCCATGTGAGGCTTATTTTACTAAACAATATGGCCATTAAGTACATTGTTTTAATAAATCTGCACAAATGTCTTGTGTTTGTGGACATGGATAAAACATGTAGATGTAACTAGGACAGAACTTAACGATTATTTTGATAATTGAGCAGATGTTTAGATTCTGAAAGGTCAGTGAATATGAGATTTTCAAAGCTATCCATCTATCTATCTATCTACAGTATCTATATTAGGGTTGCAGATGGCTAAAGAAATTCCGGGTCTGCTAAAGACATTCCCAGCCATAACTTAGTCAACTACAAAGGGGGCGTGGTAAAAAGTAAAGAGTATTGAAGAACTAGAGAAGGGAGAGGATTTAATTTCAAAGAAAAAACAAAATCTTACACTAATTTGCTTCATTTCTTCTGGTGTTTACAGTTTAGATTACATTAGATACAATAATCAGCTGTTTAATAAAATATCTGCTCCCTAAACCATTGACTGATTCATTGACGAAACAACTAATAATCAGCCCTACTGCACACATACCTGCTGTTGGGGGTACTGCATCCCGCCCATGCCCATCTGCCCGCGTCCCTGCATGCTCATTGGGTAACGATGAGGAGGCGGTGACGTGTACGGCTGGTTGGGAGGGTAAGGCCCGCCCCCTGGCTGCGGTGTAGCAGTGTAAGGGTGGTTGGGCATACTGTACAGCTGGGAACGCTTCATCGCCATAAAGTCCATGGAGGAGACCTGTAACGACAATAAGGGTTTAGAATATATTATCATTCCACAATTAAAAAAAATAATTGATTGATAAGTTGAGTTGTTTTAGTCGACATGAGCATCTGCAGACTAACAATCCTGGAGGGGCGCACACAACAGAACATTTAATATCTATATTTTTTTAATTTTTCACTATATTAGTTATTGGTTTTATCAATCACTTTTTTAAAATGTTTGAATACTTTTTGAGAATTCGCAATTGGTCCAGTAACTTTTCCTATGTCTATCAATGCTTAAAAAATCCGAGCAGAAAAACAAATGCGCAGATCAAAACTCAAGAGAAAATACTTACTGGATAAAAGCACTAAATATTTTATCTATTCAATCCCAAAGGCGCAAACAATTCTTGAAACTGATACTGTATTTGAGCAATGATTAGTATTATGGCTGAGGAGTTGTTTTGATTTTAAACATTATTATTGAATAACTTTGCATAAGTTACGTTTGCTCATACAGCCTATGGTGGTACCCTGATTGAAACCAACTTCTTACACTCACAGTAAAATATGGACCCAGGTGATTGATCGCATAAGTGCAGAGTCAGTAAAAGCCTCCTTGACTTAACATGAACAAGTCGTAAACGTAAACTCCTCACAAATGGAATTAAACACACAGAGACGTTTATTGGCCCACTGTCAGAATCTTCAAACTTCACCTGGATCAAGGCCAAAGTAAAATGATTTAATTAAAACGTAAAGCTTGTAGTATCTTTGTTTTAATGTCTGTGAGGCCTTTAAAAAGCGTTGTTAATGTTGTTTAAAGAGATGAGAAGCAATAGCCATAAAAACCTGTATATGGCCTTGTTCCCACAACTACAACCCAATCATGCCAATAATGATCCACCGATACTAACGGCAAAGCGCCAGTACTACAGATTATTATATGTGACTATATGCGATTACTTCTTCAAATATTCAAGCTGCCATGTGCTTAAGGTCTGCCTGCGAGTGCTAAGGTGCGTGGCAGGGATCCAAGCTCGGTGAATTCATCTGTGGCGAGACATTTAAAGTTGGAAATCCCAGCTGGGAACGCTGAGCGGGCAGTCAAGCAGTCAAAAGTACTTGTTCTGTAAAGCTATACCTTTGGAGCTTATCACGGTTATGAACACGGAAAACAAAGCAGGAACAGGGAGAGCTGTCAAAGGAGATCATTACATGGAGAAGATTACGTTTGGTATTGGCAAAAGAAAGGGTGATGTATTGGAAATTCTTTGTTCTTTCAATTATCACAGAATGTTGACTTATAAAGACTACAATTTCTTTACTGGTTCTAAATTGTACACACAAATACAACCTCACAACCGTTAAATAGAGACTTGCTTACTCACAGAACATCAAAAAACATGCGCATTGGTGTCATTATGTTGCCCATGCCTAGCTAAAGAATCATTTATAATTTTGAAATATTATGGTAACAATAAAAGCAGAGATAAAGATGAAGAAGGGATACTAGCAAAACATTTGAACAAACATTTGTCATAGGCTCACTAATTCTGAGTGAGGTTTGCGAGTGTTTGCATAGGTCTCTTTGGCTCCTCCAGTTTTTCCCACTAAAAGCATGTACAGTTAGGTACAGTAAAATCGTCCAGCTACGATGACCAAGCTGAGCATCAACCTCTGGAGATGGGTCCCCAGACGCTGCACTTCAGCGTCCACTGCTCCTGACAGACGCCAGAGAGACATTTCTGGATCGATCAGACAGTGGACAACTTTCTCTATGTTGTATAATGAAGTAAAACTTACCCTTGACCAAAACACTAGAGCGAACTGATTAATCATGCACGTGTCCTGTGGAGCTAAACAATTAACATTTAACACACTATTGGTCTTTACACATATTTTAGAACCTGAATAGATAAATATACCACTTGATTGTTTGACACTACAATATTTGTGAAACTGTTGTACATCAACTGCACAGAACTAATTCCAGTGCTCATCAATTCTGCTCGACAATTTAACAAATCGTTTGTTTGAAATCATATTTCCGGAATATTGGTTTTTGGCTAAAAACATACTGTATATTTGGTATCAAAAATTGGATAGAATACTTGATTACTAAAATGATCCATATCTGTCCTAGTTCCTAACATGGGGAGAGCAAAATGTTTACAGTACCAGGCCTTCAGCATATTTTAATATATGATTGCAATTATATTAGATTACTTTCCCCTCCTCTGCTACTACTGTTCTTCCCAACTCAATATCACCTCGTCTGGTGTGGAGGAGAGGCTGCTGCAGCAGGGCTAATATTTGGGAGACACACCAGGGGATGCGAGCACTTTATTCAGCAGGTTGTGTGGGCTGCTCTGACTGGGAAGTGCTTTTGTTCATTGATTCATTGAGGTGTGCGCTTGTGCGTGTGAGTGTGTGTGTGTGTGTGTGTGTGTGTGTGTGTGTGTGTGTGTGTGTGTGAGGCCGTTTTTGGATACTTGGTGTGGGGCGGAGGTGGGAGACGAAACGGGAGTTAGTGAGAGATGAGAGCTCTTGGAAGTTATTTGGCAGCCTGCAGTGGGATGAGTGACTTTATCCAGGAAATGTGTGCACGGACATGTTTTGCAAGCTTTGTACAATGTTCATATCTCTGCTGCATTAAAGCGCTCACGACATTACATTGACATAGATCCTTACTTTGGACTCAGAAAATTCCAGAATGAGTGTAGATTGAAATGAGATTTTTTTTCTTTTTTTTGGGCAAATGTATAAGAGAATTGCACATCTGTCTTTTCCAGAAGTAAACAACGGATTGAGTTATAAAAAAACTAATTCACCAACTATCAAAATAATTGTTAAAAACAGCCCTACATGATAAACCACATTTTACAAGACTAACAAATATTAATATATAAATCTGTAATTTGCAAAATGATTGTCTGTCACATGTTACACCTTGCCCTACATACTGTACTGGATATGGTCTTCATCAATACTACAAAGGGCTGTAACTAATATTTAATTAGTAATCTAGTCATAAATGTTTTATTTTAAAAACACATTATGACTATGATTAAGAAATACACATGCAAATACAATACATTTTTGGCATCATTTGTACCGCGACAACTTAAGAGCATAGTTTATATTCTGAGTTAAAAAGTGTCTTTCCAGGAGTGAGTCATGAGCGTCACAAATCACAGCAAAGAGAGCTCCTCCGCACTGTCACTCATATCACATATACGCACTCTTATTGCTGCCGCTGTAAAAGGGCAATGCCTGGAGTTCCTAAAAATCTAGGGCAGTGTGCCACTCATGATAGGGGACTCACTCCCCTCCTCCCCCCGCTCTCCCTCTCCCCCTCTGGTTCAGCAGCTCATCTCCTGAGGTCCTCTGTATGCCAAAACGCTGAGCACAACACAAGTAAATCCCCTGCACGTGGCTGCCAGCTCCACACACTCTTACAATAACAGAAGGGAAAGGGCTGGACTGGAAAAACATGGATATAGAAAACACGTTTAGGGAAAAAGATGACACGATTATGAGATCTCTTACTCCAACTTCAAATTAGACTTTTATTTTTTGATAGATCAGTATTTGATAAATCTTTTTAAAACTATGCATGTGAAACTTAACTGCATTGATATTTTTTCACACATTCAAGTGTACGTACATTCATATCATAGTGGACATATAAACAGAGAGAAACAATAGATACTATTTCCGGTAACAAGCTTGAGCGTATCCAGCAGTCTGTGGCAAAATATACATTCAACCGAATTGGCTGTTTTGCCTAAAGACACAACAGCCTCATGAACTGGATAGTCGAGTTATCAAAGCTCAAATGCTCTGAAGCTTAGATAAGAGAACCTTTATTCACTCACGGGGGAAACTTCAGAACTGCAACACTGCACTGTAGCAAACTGTATGAATATAGAAAAGAGTGAAAAATAATAATGTTTAAAAATATTTCCCTTCCGCAATCATGCAGCCTTTTTGTTAACACTTGCTCAATCTTTTACCCTACACTGTAGCGCCACAAAGAACTTTAGCAACTGGCGTACCAAAACTGTATGGTGTTTTCAAGTGCACATTCTTCACACATGTCCACAAAGGAGCAAAGTCAGTTTCATATTGGCTCTTGTGACAAATTCCATTAAATGAGATTTCAGCCCACTGCTTTCCTTTTACCACTCCACAACAATTCGGGACAAATTGAAACATTCTCCTCTTTCCCCAAAGAGATAAGGCAGTACTTAGGAAAAAAAATAAGAATATGACACGAAGAGAGTGCAGTTGTGCCAAGAGGGACAGCAAATAAAAACTAGTGGGGAAACATATTGTTTTTGTTTTTTTTTCTTCAAATGTATTTTTCGCTTTGTTCATCTGGGCACATCATTGACGGGAGCAGGGGGAGGAGCAGTGGAGACAATAGTGATTCAGCTGCTAAATTTAAAATTCAATTTATGAACTCCTCTGCTTACTCTCGTGAGCTAAAGGGAGAAAAAAACAAAGCCATTAAAACAGTACATGGGTGAAATTACTGTGTGTGCGTGAACACTGCTAAATTGCTTTTTAGAGCTCAATCGAAAGTGTTTTCATGTATCAAAAATTATTGTATTACTCGCTTTAATGTGCTAAGTTGTTCATACGGAGGAGGCAAAATACAGAGCACAAAAGGCTGGGAAATTTGGATACACACTTTGGGATCAGGTAAACATAAAACAAGATTAGAATGTTTTTATTATTCAATTTTCTCGAGAGATATTGGAAAATGTTCAATCACCGTATTTATATTGTGAAATAATACAGTTTCTACCAAATCATCATGTCATTCATCTACAACTATTGACAGTGACCACAATTGCAGTCCTACACTACTGCAGCTAACAAACTTTTTGATGAAGGTGAATGCCAGAAAATTAGAATATTGTTCAAAAATTCTGTATTTAACTTAAACATTTCACTAATGCATGACAGACTTAGTACGCGCAAAGTTACATGTATCAAGCCTTTCTTTGTTATAATATGAAT